AAAACCACATGGACTTCACCGGATCACTCTACACAAAGCCAAATCGACCATATTTGCATCAACAAAACGTTCAGGAGGACGATGGAGGACGTGAGAACCAAGGGAGGAGCTGATATAGCATCAGATCATCACTTGCCGGTCGCCAAGATGAAATTGAAACTCAAGAAGCACTGGACAATGGGGCGGACAACATCACAAATGTTCAATACGGCCTTTCTTCAGGACACTGACAAACTCAACAAATTCAAGATAGACCTCAGCAACAAGTTCCAGGCCTTTCATGATCTACTCAATGGAGAAGGGACTACTGTGGAGAGCAACTGGAAGGGGATCAAAGAAGCAATCACTTCAACATGTCATGAGGTCCTGGGTCACAAGAAGCACCATCACTAGGAATGGATCACTGTTGATACACTGGATAAGATTCAAGAAAGGAGGAACAGGAAAGCAGCAATCAAGACCAGTCGAACAAGAGCAGAAAAAGCCAAGGCACAGGCTGGATACACAGAAGTACACAAACAAGTGAAGAGGAGCATCAGAACCGGCAAACGTAAATATGTGGAAGATTTAGCAACGGCGGCGGAAAAGGCTGCAAGAGAAGGAAACATGAGACAATTGTATGACACGACAAAGAAACTCTTTGGAAATCGCCGCAAACCAGAACGACCAGTGAAAAGCAAGGAAGGCGAGGTGATCACCAACATTGAGGAGCAACGAAACAGGTGGGTAGAACACTTCAAAGAACTCTTGAATCGACCAGCTCCACTGAACCCACCCAACATCGAAGCAGCACCCACGGACCTCCCAATCAATGTTGGCCCACCAACAATTGAAGAAATCATCATGGACATCTGACAAATCAAGAGTGGCAAAGCAGCAGGACCGGACAACATCCCAGCAGAGGCACTAAAAGCAGACGTAGCGGCAACTGCAAGGATACTCCACATTCTTTTCAATAAGATTTGGGATGAGGAACAAGTACCAACAGACTGGAAAGAAGGACTTCTAATCAAAAAAACGAAGAAAGGCGATCTCAGCAAGTGTGATAACTACAGGGGCATCACTCTTCTCTCACTACCGGGAAAAGTCTTCAACAAGGTATTGTTAAACAGGATGAAAGACTGCGTAGACGCCCAACTTCGTGACCAACAGGGAGGATTCCGTAAGGATAGATCGTGTACAGACCAAATCGCAACTCTACGGATCATTGTGGAACAATCAATTGAATGGAATTCATCACTCTACATCAACTTCATTGACTACGAAAAGGCATTTGATAGCGTGGACAGAACAACACTATGGAAACTTCTTCGATACTACGGCGTGCCCCAGAAGATAGTCAATATCATACAAAACCCATATGATGGATTACACTGCAAAATTGTGCATGGAGGACAGTTGACAAAGTCGTTCAAAGTGAAGACCGGTGTTAGTCAAGGTTGCTTACTCTCACCCTTTCTCTTTCTCCTGGTGATCGACTGGATCATGAAGACGTCAACATCTGAAGGGAAGCGCGGGATACAATGGACATCTAAGATGCAGTTGGATGATCTAGACTTCGCAGATGATCTGGCCCTTCTATCCCAAACGCAACAACAAATGCAGGAGAAAACGACCAGTGTAGCAGCAGCCTTAGCAGCAGTAGGTCTCAATATACACATCATTGATGGGCACGGTGGATCTGATGCAGATGTGAAGGCGCGGATCGGTAAAGCAAGAGCAGTGTATTTACAACTGAAGGAAATCTGGAACTCAAAACAACTCTCTGTCAAACAACACCAAGGTCAGGATTTTCAATACAAATGTCAAGACAGTTCTACTGTATGGGGCAGAAACCTGGAGAACTACCAAAGCCGTCATCCAGAAGATACATGTGTTTATTAACAGTTATCTACGCAAAATACTTCGGATCTGTTAGCCGGACACTATCAGCAACAACCTACTGCGAGAGAAAACAAACCAGATACTAGCAGAGGAGGAGATCAAGAAGAAGCGCTGGAAGTGGATAGGACACACATTGAGGAAAGCACCCAACTGCGTCACAAGACAAGCCCTCATATGGAATCCTGAAGGTCAAAGGAAAAGAGGAAGACCAAAGAACACATTACACCGGGAAATGGAGATAGGCATGAGAAAAATGAACAAGAATTGGATGAAACTAGAAAAGCAGGCCTAGGAAAGAGTGGGTTGGAGAATGCTGGTCTGTGGTCTATGCTCCATTAGGAGTAACGGGAGAAAGTAAGTAAGTCTCATAGCTTACCAGGATATTCTGTAATTTTGTATTAAACAGTATATCGGTCGTCTCTACTTCAGTTTAGTCTGATTTTTACAAAAGCGAGTACATTACACCAGCGATCAAACTGATTTTGTGACATGAATTCAAATTTTCCAAGTGAATTGTTGCGATGGGCGATGCTACGCACTAACCCACTACAACTGACTACTTGAGCGACAGCACAAGATTGAACGAGAAAGTGTATTGAACTATCGAATAAAATGCACGAATACTCCTCAAAATAATTGTTTTTATGAGTCCTACACATTATCGCTCACCTTATTAGTTTTCCCGACCACCCATAGCTGAAAGTGGTTGGTCAAATATCCACACCAGATCACGTTTGTGTACTACGTGCTGAACACGTCTTACTATAACGCGTCAGACTGGATTGCACATAGTATAAAATACGGGCCATTATTCGAATATATCTTTGGATACCTTCATTTTCAGTTCTCGGTTTTATTGGCCTAGGGATCCTTGCGTGAGAAGAGGTTTCATTTAATAGCTATGCCAAACACTGTGCATGCGTAATATTTTCAAATAAATAATAAAGGACTCTATCAGTGCCACTTAGGAAGGGATTGAAGCTCACCGATTGGTACAGGTGAAAATGTAAATTGTAAGGAATTCGCGGAAGTTCGTTATCCTGTCTACATTCTTGACGGAACGAGATAATTTATGAATTACCACGCGTCGTAGTCAGACAATTTACAACAGAGCTGTCTGGTCAGCAATCGCTAACATAATATTAATAACGGAGATAAAAGACCATGGATCTCTGTCAAAGATTATTTTACGGTGTAAATTATCTCATGACTGACGATAAATTGTCATTTAGTCGGCATTAGTAGTTTTGCGACCGATATGGATGGTACGTTTTTGAGTAAAATGTTTGCATTCTCTGACATAGGGAACATAACATAGCCACTGAATCTTACATAAGATGTCCGAAATCACAAGACAAGGATTGTTCAAGATTACAGAACCTATAGAAAATAAAAGAAACTCCAAGAAATTAAAATCTCTAGACTAAACGGCTCCCAAGAGTTTGTTCTGTCTTACTGACGCGCGCGTTTTTCAAAAAGGGTAGTGATTTTGAACTTGTTGTGGTTAGCCTTACTTTTGTGTACTTGTTGCATTAAAAGCATTCTTTGTCCACTTTAAATGAAGTATTTCGGTTAAGGTTTGAAACCTTGGTCTTGTGGTACCTACTTTCTCATTGACTGACACTTGTGTTCATATTGTGATCATATTGCGTTTTATACCTTTTTAATCTGATAACAATAGTTGGTTGTACTCATAAATATGGACAACCGAATTGTTTGTTCCCTGTAAAGGAAGGAATGCAGTGCGATGAGCGTAAAAAGTGGTTCCATAAGATGTGTACCCGTTTAAGCCCCACTGCATACAAATAAGACGTTACTAATCCGAGAGCCCATGAGTCTATTAACTTTGTCTTGTAAGAAGAAAGATGGTGGTTGCGCAGGTACTTATGGAGAAGATTGCGTCAGTGTTGTAAGTGCTGTCATGACACCTGTCAGGCACCCAAATGTGAAACACTGGATTGAGTTTTCTACCCGAAGCAATAAATCGACTGCACGTCATTAGATATTGGTAGTCAAGTTGCTATAACAGCGACAGACGATCCTAATAAAACTATCACCGTTCCGAGTGGTTCCATTTTAGATGTTGCGACTGATGAGATATGGGTGACGAGAAAACATAAAAGAGTAAGAAAGATAGCCAAAAGTCCACCCGTCATTGCTGGACCTTGTTCTCACACACCAATATGAGAATGTAATCAACATTCAGCATCTTCCCCTTCACTAGTGAATAGTGATCACGTTGTGCTGTACTTTAAGTTTGGGGAACATGGTATACAATTTGTATCTGCCCCATCCCGTCCCAATATCTCGCGAGCCAATATTCCGGCAATCAGGGGCTGTGTTATGTCGACTGACTGGTCGATCGACGTGGATGGGTTTGTAACAGCTCAGGTTGGTTGGTTAAGAGTTGACCCCAAACAACCAAGCTTATGCCAAAACAGTATTGTTCAAGTATTCATTCACTTCCTTATTTTTTATAAGCGTTATATTCCCTATTATCTTGAATGTTGAGAGCCTTTGTTTGTCTGAACAGATAATCCCACGCTCCACTGTCAACGCGCTAAGATCGAAATAAAGACCTATTCACTACTTGTCTGGTTTCTTCTATCAATAGCACGAGGGTTACTTCAAGGCACGAAAGGTCCATTGAAGACGAATGGAATGAGTTTAAGGCTACATTCGAGGCGTATCAAACACTTCTGGGACTCATTCTTGTCAACAGGATACCCATCATTTAAGTGTGAATATAAACAAATCCGGAATATATGTTACGGGAGAACTGAAGACTTTTGACGGATTAAAACCTTTTATTGTACATTAATAATTTACTGTGCTTTTGGATGTAATTGTTTTACTTAACTTTTGAACTTGTTTGTTTATATCATTATTTCGAACATTTTGGTTTGTCTTTGGTTTGGTATTTTGGTGCTCTTTTTGTCTTTGGTTTGGTAATTGGGAGTTTTGCTCCGGGAACCTACAAAATTGAAGGTTTGTTTTGTAATTGTTATAATTATTGTTATTAGAACGACATTTGGTCGATTACTTGTGAATTACGAATAGACTTGGTATCTAAATTGGGACTTGGTTCTGTTGTAAATTTGGGTTCGTAATTTGCGAGTAGATCGATAGTCCGTACTTCAATAACTGGAACGAGCAAAACTTGGACGTAACCTAAAGTTCTTCAATTATTGGTTCTGTGTTCATACCTTGGATTTTCTGGATATTTTGGGTCCAAATTCCTGGTCTTATTGGTCGATTTCGTTTGGATTAATTCAGATTTGTTTTGGTAATTGATTATTTGGAACAACAAATACGATGGAAACACGGAGCAAAAGGCTGAAGGAAAATGACGAATTGGATGGTAAAACTTCCAAAGCTGTTTGTGGTATGTCTGATGTTAATGATGATAAATGTGATGATGTTAGTCTTAATAGTATGTCCTCTAGCCAGCTAAGTACTTCTAGATTAAAATTAGATAAAGCATTACTGAGAAAAAGGAATTTAGAGAAGAGACTTGAATTAGAGCGGCAACTTAAGATGTTAGATCTACAAGAAGAGGTTGATATCGCTGAACTAGAATGCAAGGCCATCGAGGACGATGAACGATTACCCGTAGATAAATGTGGGATAAATGCTAAAGTGGAAAATTATTTGGATTGTGATACTGGGTGTAATAATCACTCAGGGGAGGTATGTAACATCTCAAATGTCGATTGGGTTGGGGAGCTGAAGGACACGTTACATACAATGGTTAGTAACATGGTTTTACCTAAGATCGATATGATGTACTTTGATGGGCAGCCGGGTCAGTATTACCGTTTCATTAGTCAGTTTAATAGCCTTATAGAGAGTAAACTGTCAGATAAGGGCCAATTGTTGTTGTATTTGTTATATTATTGCAAGGGAAAGGCCAGAACAGCAATTGAATCTTGCGTTTCTTTGCCCAGTGATTTGGGCTATGATAGGGCTAAACGAATTTTGTATGATTTATTTGGTAAAGAACATCTTGTTGCACGAGAACTAATTATTGAGTTATTAAACCATAAACCTGTCGGAGGATCGGCTGACGTATTAACTGACTTTGCGATTAAGTTGCGTAATGTATGTATAACGTTGAAGCAAATGGGATATATGTCTGACGTTAATTCTACGGCTAATTTGGAGGTAATAGTTTCTTGCCTACCTCTAGAATTGCAGAATAAGGGGGTGGAAGTCGCCGATAAAATCATGATGCATGGGAAGGAGCCGAGCTTTGAAGAATTTGTGGTCTTTGTAGAAGAGAGGGCCAGAATTGCCCGAACCCGTTATGGTAGATTAGTACAGTGTAACTCAAGGTTGGGTAAAAGGAATTCTGAAGGCCAAGCTGATAGGAGATCACGCTTTCATGCAATTAGACGAGACCCAAATAGCTCAGTCAAGGTATCACGTTGTGAAATCTGCGAAGGTGATCATGAGGTGACAAATTGTCCAAGATTATCAAAAATGAATGTAAGAGAAAGGAGGCAGGAGGTAAGAAAACGTGGTCTATGTTACTTATGTTTGAGGAAAGGTCACATAGCTATGACATGCAACTCAGGCATCAAGTGCGACGTTGAGAATTGCAAGGTTAGGCATAATTCATTATTGCATATTGCTAGTATTGATAACCATGTGGTGAACCTAGCTAAGGATTGGAACTCTTCAAAGGTTTGTTTGGGGATCGTTCCAGTCAGACTATACGGTCCCAAAGGATGTTTGGAAACATATGCACTTCTTGATAGTGGTTCGGACACTTCTCTTGTATGTGAAGAATTAATTAATCAGTTGGGTATCAAAGGTAAAGAGACTTCGATAAGGGTGGCGACTGTGAACGGAACTACCAATTGTGATTGTTTGGAGGTAAATTTAGAGGTATTTTCATTAGATGAACAGGGTTCTATAAGGATCAGCAAGGTTTACACGACCAAGAAACTTCCAATCGATCATGCAACACCTTTAACCGAACTCCAACTGAAACGGTGGAATCATCTAAAGGACATAACCCTTCCGAGGTTGCAAAGTAATTTTGTAGGAATATTGATTGGGGTGTGATGCTCCGGATGCACATTGGGTCCTGGAACAACGTCTGGGGGACAGGAAGAATCCGTTTGCTGTGCGTACTCATCTTGGTTGGATGATTATAGGTCCTAAGGGAGTATCAAGGTCTCTACATCAAGTTCAGTGGTGACATTGTTGCACTAATGATATTTTGCGAGATTTAGAAAGACTATATAATCATGAGTTCGAGGATGCAGATACGTTTCGTAATGGATATTCTGTCGAAGATAAAAAAGCTCTAGAAATAGTTAACAGTTCGTTTAGATTGGAGAGTGGTCATTTCCAAGTTGGTCTACCATGGAAGTATGATAAGCCAAGACTACCGAATAATTTGGAACTGGCTAAACGCAGATTAGAATGCCTAAGGAAGAGGTTTATGAAAGATAACAGTCTTTTGGAGAAATATCAAGTTGTGATGAATAAACATTTAAGTAAGGGCTACATCATTGAAGCTAGTGAAGAGGGATTTGACTGTGATGCTGTTTGTTGGTATATTCCTCATCATCCTGTTATCAACCCTAAAAAGCCTGGAAAATTAAGAATTGTTTTTGATTGTGCGGCTGTCTATCAGGGTTGTTCTCTTAATGACCAGCTTTTGAGAGGACCGAATACTGTAAATAGTTTAATTGGTGTACTTCTACGATTCAGAATAGGTAACGTAGCATTAGCTGCTGATATCGAAGAGATGTTTCTTCAAGTAAAAATTCCGAGACAAGACAGGGGAGCATTTCGTCTATTGTGGTGGGAAGACGGTGATATACGACGAACGGCTAAGGAATATTGTTTAACAGTTCATCCGTTTGGAGCCGTGTCCTCTCCCTTTTGCGCTAATTTCGCTCTTAAGAAGACGGTAGATATATTCGGTAAGGAATTCAATGAAGATATCCAGGATGTCGTAGATAGGAGTTTCTATGTCGACGACTATTTAGCCTCTATTGATAATGTACAGGATGCAATTGAGCTGGCAAAGGCCCTTGGTTCTCTCCTCAGAAAAGGTGGGTTTAGACTTACCAAGTGGATAAGTAACTGTTTACAAGTTCTCGAATCAATTCATCCAGAAGAGAAAGCAGAAGCCGTAAGAGAGATTGACTTTGAAAGATTTCCTACGGAACGCACGTTGGGATTATTTTGGAATACTATGGTTGATTCGTTTGAATTTAAAGTTCGCATACCGAAACGCCCCCTCACTAGGCGTGGTATATTGTCAAGTGTAGCCTCACTTTACGATCCTCTGGGATTGGTAGCACCGTTTATACTTCCCATGAAGCAGTTACTTCAGCGTTTAGGTAAATTGGGACTAGGATGGGACGAAGAGATTCCAAATGAGGAAAGCAAACGTTGGTTAGAGATTTTAAGTGAATTTAAAAGGGTTGAGAACGTTAGTTTTCCACGTTGTGTATTGTTTCCTCAATCAGATCGTTCGCTCCTGGAACTTCATATTTTCAGTGATGCATCGGAAACTGGATATGGTGCAGTAGCATACGTCCGCTCTTACAATTTTGACACTGAGATATGTTCTCGTCTTGTTATGGCTAAGGCAAGGGTAGCCCCCTTGAAGGTCCAAACTATACCGCGCTTGGAACTGTCGGCAGCAGTTTTAGCAGCTCACATGGGATACCAGCTGCAGTCAGAATTAGACATTAAGTTTGCAGAGGTTAATTTTTGGACGGATTCCATGATTGTCTTACACTATATTAGAAATGAGAAAAGCCAGTTTAAAACATTCATAGCAAATCGAATTTCGACTATTCACAGTCTTACTAAGGTGGACCAATGGAGATTCGTACCTTCTAAAGAAAACATAGCAGACTTCGCATCCAGAGGGATCAAGTTTAACATCGATGATGTCAAGGTATGGGAGGAGGGTCCACGTTTTCTCAAGAAGCCGAGGGAGTGTTGACCTGCTGCTGATGTACAAGGTCCTGACCCCCATCTCTTGGAAATAAAGAAGGCAATGTCGGCGCATGTAATGGCTGAAGAATCCACTGTTGATCAACTTATTAATTATTATTCAGATTGGACTAGATTACTTAAGGCTGCTGCGTGGTTAACCCGATTTAAGCGATATTTATTGGTAATGCGTTCTGGTAGAACTGATCTGTCTCTACAGGTGGGTATGCTCAAAGTTGATGAATTAAATTTAGCTTGTTTAGATTTAATTCGATATGTCCAACGCTTAGTATTTCGGAAAGAGATTGAAATATTGTCGTCTGATACCATTAGCAAGGCGAAAATAAAAAATTCACCGTTACGGATCTTAAATCCAGTGATGTTAAACGGATTATTATGTGTTGGTGGCCGACTTCAAATTAGTTCCTGGCCCGAGTCGAGGAAGCATCCTATAATATTACCATCAAAGCATAGAATTACAAATTTGATTCTACAGTATTATCATATTTTGGAAGGGCATGTTGGAGCCACACAGGTAATGGCAACAGTTCGAGAAAAATTTTGGGTGCTGAGGGGTGGTGTGACCATGAGGCGAGTGATTAAGGATTGTGTTTATTGTAAAAGGAGGAACGCCTGCCCCATCCAACAACTGATGGCACCACTACCTCCGAGTAGAATAGAAGATGGTGAGTATCCATTCTTATCAGTTGGTGTAGATTATTTTGGACCCATTATGGTTAAACATGGTAGACGTACCGAGAAGAGATATGGTTGTGTATTCATATGTTTAAGATTGAGAGCTGTGCATCTGGAAGTTGCATATGGTTTTACCACAGACTCATTTATCATGGCATTGATGAAGTTTATCGGCAGGAGAGGCTATCCAAAAGAGATATACAGCGATAATGGATCAAATCTGGTGGGGGCTGAACGGGAGCTAAGAAAATGTCTTCAGGATTGGGTGCAGGAGCGTATACACTCTGATTTGCTAAGAAAGGGGATTGACTGGCATTTCAGTCCACCGGCTGCTAGTCATTGGGGAGGAGTTTGGGAGCGCATGATTCGCTCTGTACGTAGAGTATTGGGTGTTCTTGTAAAGGAACAATCTTTAACAGATGAATGCCTTGAAACTTTCATGATAGAGGCTGAGCGTATAATTAACAATCGACCTTTGGTTCCGGTTACGGACGACTCTAATGATCTCGATGCAATAACACCAGCGAAACTATTACTATTGAGAGAGAACGTCGCCGAACTCACTAACGTAATATCTAATGACAGGTATTCTAAGAGATGGAAGCAAGCGAATTACTTGGCACAAGTATTTTGGAGACGTTGGTCTAAGGAATATGTTTCGTTGTTGCAGCGTAGATACAAGTGGACCCAACTAGAGAGGAACATACGAGAGTGTGACTTAGTAATGATATGTTCCGAGTTCTCTGAGAAAAACAAATGGCCCTTGGGTCTAGTGCAGAGAGTGTTAACAAGTAAGGATAGATTAGTGAGGCAGGTAGAATTAAGGACAAGAAAGGGGATCCCAGTCAGAGATATTAGAAAACTGTGTCTTCTTGAAGCCGTAGATGGTAGGTAGTTACTCGGGTCCCTAGGCGTACTGGTGTAAGTCCTAGGGATCACGAGATTGTTGGTATATTGAGTGTCTGTTGTTGTTTGTTTGTGATGCATATACTTGGATTCTTGTTGTCTATTTATTTGCCTGAAAAGAACCAAGGTTCTTTTGGTCGGGAGTGTTACGGGAGAACTGAAGACTTTTGACGGATTAAAACCTTTTATTGTACATTAATAATTTACTGTGCTTTTGGATGTAATTGTTTTACTTAACTTTTGAACTTGTTTGTTTATATCATTATTTCGAACATTTTGGTTTGTCTTTGGTTTGGTATTTTGGTGCTCTTTTTGTCTTTGGTTTGGTAATTGGGAGTTTTGCTCCGGGAACCTACAAAATTGAAGGTTTGTTTTGTAATTGTTATAATTATTGTTATTAGAACGACATTTGGTCGATTACTTGTGAATTACGAATAGACTTGGTATCTAAATTGGGACTTGGTTCTGTTGTAAATTTGGGTTCGTAATTTGCGAGTAGATCGATAGTCCGTACTTCAATAACTGGAACGAGCAAAACTTGGACGTAACATATATGTAAAAAGACCATAACTAAATCACAGACTATTTATGAACGACAATTGAGATATGACAACCTTACTTGTCCGAAACGAGCGTTTTCGTATGTTAAACGGCGAACAAAACGTAGTGATAGTATACTGTTACACGAAAATTCAGATTTACTAGCTGAATCAGGTCGGGCAAAAGCCGAGACTTTTTCAAAATATTCTAGGAAAGTATACTCCACGTGTATTGTTACAAATACCTGTCCCACTCACACCGAGATATTAACCATGGAATCTGTACATGTGACTAAGGAAACTATTCTTCCATTGATAACTAACCTCAAACCTGGTAAGATACCGGGCCCTGACGGGTACATCCACGACTGCCGTCATCTCTCGAAGACATTATTTCAAAACCGCTCGCGACACACTTTAACATGTCCCTTTCACTCGCTCAACTCCCTAGAGATTGGAAGGACGCTATAGTTAGTCCTATATTTAAGGATGGTCAGAGACAGATCATATCTAACTACCGATCTATCTGCCTAAACAGCATAGTCGTTAAGTTACATAAAAAGATAATTCGTGTTAAGTTACTATGTCACATAGATTCACACAATCTGTTAGCTCCTGAGCAACATGGGTCTCGTAACAAGCGTTCATGCTTGACTTATTTACTTATTGCGAGTGAAGATTGAACAACAGCCCTAAATAACGGTCTGTCTGTCTGTCGATGTGATATTCGTAGATTTTAGCAAAGCATTTGACAAGGTTCCAACTTAGGTCTTATTCAGATATCTCGAGCTTCGGAATAATAGGTACTGTACAGGAATGTATAGGAAACTTCTTACGTAATCTCAGACAGAGAGTGATGGTCAATGGAACGCTGTCCGAATGGAAGCCGGTCAAAAGTGGTGTACCTTAAGGTAACATCTGTGGCCCTCTACTTTTTCTTCCTTACGTTAACGCATTACCGATGTTGCTTAGGTCATCGACATTATTGTTTGCGGATGATGTAAAAATCTGTAGAACAGTAAGAAATGAGACTCATCATTTGGATCTTCAAGCTGACCTAGGTGAATTATTTAGATGGGCTAGATGTTGGGGCTTAGAAGTTAGTTCTAGAAAGAGTATGTTCTTGCACATCGGACACGGTAATAGTTGTATTCATGCTGTTGATGTTACATCTCTTCCACGCGTTCAAGAACACAAAGAGCTAGGAGTAATAGTAAGTCATGACTTGAAAACAACTACGAATTGCAACGTAGCTGCTGTCAAAGGTTTTCTTGCGTAATGGTCACTTCGCCGATCATTCAAACGCTTTGAAGAGGAAATGCTTCGGATTTTATATCCCACCTATGTAAAACCACACATTGAGTACTGCATCCAATTAGATAGCCCATGTTTGATAACGGATACTAACCCACTTGGGCGTGTTCAGCATGTGAGGGTCTTTCTAAACTCTCATTTCAAGACAACGTCTTAGACGAGCTGGCTGCATCTGCCGACCGCATCCTCTAAATCACGAAGTCTTCTAATGCCGGGGTTTTTTCAGTCAAACAAAAACCTCAAACGACCCAGAATGACATAACAGAATTATGTTATACCCTTACACGTTATATTAAATTTCGTAGCGAAGCAGTACTTAACGTAGGCAATCTGTCTCCAGACCAGGAGAGACTGATAACATCTACTGATGCTGGTATCATAACCAGTAAGGAAAGTCCTCCAGAAATTGCAAGAAACCCTTCAATTTTCCAAACTTATAATCGACTAACACGAAAAACAACTCGGAAAATTTCCAAGCCGGCACACGTTAACGACACCCGTAGCCGGCGAACATAGCCGTCTGTTGTACGTCACAGATGTGACAACGAGATTTTGCTACTTCGTCGCCACTGGCGCAGAAGTTAGCGTTCTTCCTGCAAATTCTAACGACCAGCTTCGCGAATTAGTTTTAAACTTACAGGCGGCAGACGGAAAGCCTAACATCACATACGGTAAAAGGTAGGTCTACCTTAACATAGGTTACCGCAAACTCATTCACTGAATCTTCGTTGTTGCAGATGTTTCTATGCCAATCATTGGTATAGACCTCCTACAACACCACAATCTACTCATCGATACGCACGAACGGAGACTAGTTGTCGGAAATACTAATTTGTCTGTTTGCGTAGTTACTTGCTACGGTTGAAGATTATCTCCAGTCACAATTAAGCACACGGTAGACTCATTCTATCAATCACTACTCGATAAGTATTCTGGAATATACCAATCGCATCCAAAATGGCCGTGTGTAACCAGCGACGTTACACATCACATTACGACTACAGGACTACCTGTATTCTCTAAAGCACGACGACTAGCCCCCGAAAAGCTGATGTTGGCCAAAAACGAATTCGAACACATGATAGACCTAAGAACGTCCCTAAAAAAGGACAGCAACGATTGACGTCCAAGTGTTGACCATCGGCGTTTGAATGCGAAAACCATTCCCGATCGTTACCCGTTGCCTCACATTCACGATTTGACAGCTACCTTGAAAGGTACAACTGCCTTTTCAAAAATCGACTTGATTAAAGCGTAAATCAAATCCCTATGTCTACTGACCATACTCCGAAAACAGCTATCATAACTCCTTTCGGACTCTACGAATTTTTGCCAATGCCTTTCGGTCTAAGAAA